TTGTTATTCCTTAAGAAACAGAGAAATCAGATGTGTCCTATCCCATGACCATCAACATTTCACATAAAATCACACATTTTATACATATTCGTATAACATAATCCTGAATAATATTCCATTATAAATTCCTTATATTGTTATATTCCAACACACCTTTACGACCTTCCTTTCTTAAGTGCAGTTAAATCATGCCGGCTTACAGTTCCATGGGTGTTTATAGTCCTCTAGTCCCTCTTTCCGCTGGCTATTCTTCATTAATGGGTGTCGACAGAGAGTGTCACTATGACCATGATTGTGTTATGTGTCTTCAAATCTGCATGTGGAAAAAACAGATGTCATTGCTGGTGAAGACCCGTGTGACGTGTTTGTAACTTGGCTTAAAATTGTATTGACGACATGTTATTAAATTAAAAACGATGCCTCATCACTTCCTTAGCAGCGCACTATGGACATCGTACCATGCCACTAATCAGAGGGCGCAGTAGGAACTATTATATCCGCATTGCACAATCATCACTGCACCACAAAGCTGTAAACATGACTGTACTAAACACAAACACAACAGAATTCTTGGGGTGAGATGCTGGAGAGACATTGTTGTATAATTTCAGGAACTATTGTTCTTAAGATGGAGATTTCAGGCAAGCCTGAAATGGCATTTAGTCTTGGAGCTGTAAAACTATTTAATATTAAAATTTGTCCTTCGGATGAGATGTGAACTGTGTTTCTTGAGGTTGACCTTCAAGATCCTATGTCACTGTTTGAAAAGAGAATGGAGTTTTTCCCAGTATCGTGGTCAACAATTTCCCAAATAAAATTGATCATTCACTTCATTCATAGCTGTTTGTGGCATATTCCGTGGATAAATTGGCTGCCTTGTTAACCTACAAAATACACATTCACTTCACTTTTCAGTAAATCCGGTGCAGTACTTTGGGACATCCTCCGAATTGAAAGGTGTAATATCAAATGCAAGAAGTATTATTCTTCATAATAAATTTATGATCACGTAGAATTATGGATAATTCATGTTTTCAGTTTCAGTTGAGACTGAATTTAAGATTTTTTCATAATTCTGTGTAATTTTCAATTTTAAGGCAAAATGGATTTACAGGCTATTTGGGTATTTGGGTTAAAAAGAAGTTGATCAGCTCTCTCACCCAGCTCAACCTGTAAGTACCTGTTGATTTAATTTAAGGCTTTGGGTGTGTCATCAATTGATTGCTTGTAGCCAATAAATAGTTTGAATTTATAGTATTCTGAGTCATCCGTGTTTTACTCATCAATATAAACATGGTACTGGTTTTGTCCTCCCAACTTGAAAAACAATAATAATACAACAACTTACATTTACATAGCACCCTTCACATTACATTACATTACATTTATATAGCGCCTTTCGTGTTGAAAGGGCATTCCCAGGTGCTGTCATCTTGGGTCCTTGACTCAAGTCACTGCGAGATTGGGTATAAATACCAGCTCCGTGACAAGCTGTTGAAAGAACTTACAAAAAATCTCCTTCAAAATTAAGGCTGTATTTAAGAATGTAGCAAATTCTGTATGCTCTAAAAGACTTGGTTAATGAAATAAATGTTAAACCCCTGTGGAATTTCCCCCAAACAACAATGTGCCCCCAAACAGTGAAACATGTTCTGATTCTGTTTAGATTCTGCTGGGCTGCTGTGTGCATTGTCTCTTAATGGTAGAGCATTGTATGCTCAATGGGGAGGGGAGCCAATGATATCATCTAACCATAGACTTCCTGAATAGAATAATGATTCCATACTAGTAACACAGAGCAGTGGAGTTCCAGGTACTAGAAATATAACAATAGAGCCAACAGATTTACATTCAGATTAATTCCAACCCAAATCAGCGATGGTTGGAATAAAATTTGAATACACTATGGGATGTAAAATACAATGATTGGCAATAGGAATATTTTTTAATAAGAACTTTGAGTCACGAATGAGAAATGCTTCTGGTATCCGAAAGTACGTTATGCCACTCCTTGGTAACTCCCCTCTGACATGAACTTTAGTACTGTCGGATCAGGGTTCCCATGGATTTGTGTAATGTGCTTCTAGTGCCTATTCACAGCTCAAGGTCCTTATCAAAAAAAATCCTGAAGAAATTGCATATTTCAAATGCAATTCAGGTCTGAATCCAAAATGGCAGATCCTCAGAAATAAATTTTCATACCCATGTTCAGAGGTGTAGTGTTGGCTGTTTCTCCCTCCTGTTTATGCGTGCTGGGTTGTGGTACCAGCATAATTGCTGAAAACCAGAAAGATATTCTGTTGCCAGGAGGGAATGCATCTCTAAAGGATCTTTAAGGGAAGACTCCAACAATAACAACAAATTACATTTCTATAGCGCCTTCACATTAGGGGGTCCTGATGTCACATGTGAACATAACAAAGTGTGGTTCACATGTGAAATTATCTACTGCACCCCTGGAGTTTCCTTACTGAAATTATATTAATCAGGAAGTCAGAAACATCATGCTCAGATTAGCATAAAGGGGGCAAAACTATTTTCTGGACTGTAACAAAATTCCATATTCCTACTCTCAAAAGAACATCACCTATAAATACACAGTCACTGTACTTTGCAGTAAATCCTGTGAAGTACTTTGAGATGTCCTCGCAACATGAAGGCATTATATAAAATGTAAGGATTATTATTACCACTGCCAACATTTTTCAAAATATCGACAAAAAGCTGTGGATGCTGAATCCATTCAAATTTTCAAGATTGAGGTGGATAGATTTTTGTTAGATCAGAGTATCAAGGGATATGGGGCAAGAGGGGGTAATTGGAGTTGAGGTACAGATCACTTATGATCGTATAGAATGGCGGAACAGGCTCGAAGGGCTGAATGGCCTACTCCTATTCCTATATTCATCGTTTGAATGATATTGAGACCACAATTAAAATAAATAACGAAATCTGTAGTGGTGTGACCCGAGGCAAATCCTCAAATGGAAAACATCAGAATCTTGGTCTTACACAAAACTATTCACATTCTTAGTGCATCTGTCCCTTTAAAAATAGCACTGCACAAATACAAAAAGCCATCCTGCATGTTGATACCCTCTGTACATAGACAAAACCACTTTGCAAACTATGTCTCCCTCCATTGGAGTCTATTCTCAGTTGAAGATGATGGTGGCTGCTTTTGTAGACTGAGCTTAAAATTTGTCTTTTTGTCACAGGCCAAAACTCAATGTTTTTAATGAGTTAAAACACTGCACAGTGTTACTCAAGCTAAAACTCATTGAACTGTGGCTGACTCAGGAAGTCCTTTGGCCCGACCTATAACATAGAAAACGTTCAACCTTTTATACAGATGTGTCATCCAAACGTGGACTTTATCCTTCTTTATTGGTCCTATGTTTTCAGGCACAATTAAGTTAAGTGATTGAGTTTAACTAACCATAAGTCCTAGGTTTCCATCCAAATCACATTGCATGACAATGATAAAGTGCAGCTTGGTAAAACAGTAAAGTTTGCATAAATAGGAATGAGAAAACAAATGTATAGTCGCAATGCATGAAATTATCATTTCATGCACAATCTCTGTGCTGCATCTAAAAAGTTTGCTTCTAAATGTCCAAGTATACTTTGAGTACGTTGGTGATTTTTTTTCAGTGGCTCTAAAGATGACAGACGTGCTGCCAAATAATAATAATAATAATCCTTGCATTTGATATAGTGCCTTATCATGTCATTGAGACGTCTCAAAGCACTTCACAGAATATACTGTAAAGTGAATTGACTGCGTATTTTGTGGGGGAAACGATGTACGAGTGAGTTACAGATACTGGCAGTGCTCCAGTATCTCACCCAAGTCAGCAATTTTTATATATGAACCTGAACAGTGAACGTTAGTGGCTATTGAGCTACATTAAAGAGCAAAATGACAAATCAGTCTGATCCTATCCTCACCTGATTCTCACATATGTGTATGTCCTTGGGACACTGAGGCAATTTGTAACAATCTTGCTGAAGCCACTACTGAGACTGGGTAAAACAGTATAGGTCAGGAATCAAAAGAGAACTAGACAAGTATTTGAAAGATTAAGGCTTAAAGGGGTATGGGGAGTATGGAGATAAGGCAGGCAGTAGGATTGAATGAATACCTTGCTTTAAGGGGCAGTGCAGATAAATTGATAACAACCTTTTAATGAAGTTGAAATGACTTCTGCTATGATTAACAAGGTACCCAGTAAATAGACAGATGAAGTCCAACTATGCTCAGGTTTCAAGGAATGGGCAAACCTGAAATATTAACCTATCAATCTCTTGCAGATGCTGATTGACCTGAGACCCTTTGTAGCATTTTCTGTTTTACATTTCCGATCCCCAGCATTTTCCCTTTACTTTTCAAATGCACAGTTGTTTCAGAGACCACCTGCCCCCCACCCAAGCATTTAATCTTCGCGTCTGTCTCCAGAGCATTTACTAGAGTCAGAGACACATCTGGCTCTGGAGTTGAATCCACAATGGTTTTGTCTGATGCAAAATTTCCTGGGGTAAATGGGGCAATGTGCGTAATCCTGCTCTGTTATTTACAATGCAAAGAAACTTAAGTGAAATGTTTTCTCCTTTTTTTTGTATGTTTTCTTCATTTTAGATGCTGGATAAAGGTATGTTTTGCAAACCAGCAGGGCAACCAATTAGGCAGGGGTACTCTGAGAGTGACTGGCAGGGAGTGGGGAACATTCAGGTGGTAGTTTTCCCTGACTGGTGAGATAGAATGTCTGATAGTCCGGTTGAGAAATCCTGAAGCTCAGCCAACTGAATGAATACACAATGAGCAATAAGTGCAGCATTTCACACCAAGGAGAGTTTAGTTGGTTGTCAGGTGTTTCATGGCTTGAGTCCAGAGTGCACATATTTTACTTCTGCTTCTATTTAACTTCCAGTTCCTACAGCTAGGAACCTCATTTTGCTCACTGTGGATTTTTTTTTAACTCTTTGTTACTTTTATACAGGGTAGAAGATGGAAGAAGACTGAAAGATTCAACACAGACTCAGTAGTTGGAAGAAAGTGGAATGATCCAGACTTGCTTACACCTAGGGTGGACAAAGTCACAAAGGAATCACAATGTTACCATGGGAATATCACCCATAAATCCGATGGATCGAGGGAAATCAGAAAGGGCTCTAAGGTATTTTAGTTGATACAAATTCACTTTAAAGGGCACTGTCATCATGAGCAAGTATTTTGCAAGCCTTTTTCTTTTCTTTTGTGTGGAACAACTGGGTGTGAGTCATTTATTTCATATTAGCATAACATGCAACTTTTTAGTTGAGATATCTTCATGTGATTTATGCCATTGGGTTGTGTGCTTGCAAACAAACAAGAAACATTTTTTCAAGTACCTTGTGTTTGCATCTTTTGTAAAGGTATCTGATCTCTTCCTGACTTTGTCAACTGTAAGTAGACACTCCCTGTAGCACACTCTTCAAGAACCAAACAAGGACTTTGAAATCATGGTACAGGCTCCATTGCAGTGATGGAGTTGCTCTGTATTGTTGGAGGTGCCGATCTATGGATGGGACCAAGGTTCAGACTGGCCTGTTCAGGTGGATGTTAAAGATCTCAAAGCACTGTTTGAAAGAAAAGGGAGTTTCTCACACTCCTGTCCAACAATCCTGCAGATTTAAAAAATGGTCAATAAATTTATGGCTCTGTGCAAATTGGCTGCGGCATGAACCAATAGATGAAAAGTCACTTAATTTTATAGAAATCTCTAGTAAACTCTTTGAGATGTTTGGACATAATAATAATATTAATTGTTGCATTTGATATAGGACACTATCGCCCGGTTGTTAGTGCCCGGTTATCAGTCAATTGGCAGATCTGGGAGTAATAATTCCTTCAAAAATAAAATAATAAATTGGTCACTTTAATCCACGACTGTTTGTGCGACACTGCTGTGCACAATTAGCTGTTGCGTTTCGCCCACAAAATATACAGTCAATTCACTTTACAGTATATTCTGTGAAGTGCTTTGAGACATCTCGAAGATGTGTTATGACGTTATATCAAATATAAGGATTATTATTATGTTAGGTGATGGGTTGCACTGAATTCCGATTTTACTACCAAAACATTGGTGGTACATTTGGACAAATGTCAATGAGATCAAAATTGCAATATTCATTCTGAATTAGGACAATATCCTGTAACTAGGCCTCACTTAAATATTTGGGTCTTGATGCATCCATGATTGTCAGGGATCGCTGTGTTAGGTCTGCTTTCTGGGAAGGGTAAGTGAGGGGAGTCCATCTCTCAAACGAGCAGGCGTAAGGTTTCCTCTCTCCAAATATCAGCTATACCCAAGGTGTGGGCAATGGCACCTCATTATTTCAAAATTATGCTTGAGGTCATGATTCCCACCCACAGTGAAGGTAAATGGTAACATCTGGGGCAAGACAGATGGTTTGCTATAATATTTGAATTAGCAATACTGTTATTTCAAGGAAAACATATCCTTGAAGTTCTTCCCCACTGAGGACAAGACGCCAGCCATTTCAAGTGAAATAAAAATCAAAACATGTTAAACAGTCAGATTGGTGTAAGGATTATTCTGTATGGCTCTTTACATTAGTACTGAATTCACATTGCAAACGAGTGTGAAAAGCACTGACCTGCCCATTTAATGAAGTATTTACATGAGCAGTAAAAACCCTAAGGGCATACAATGAGAAAACGAGGTAAAATATGCAGTACTCTTAAACACATTTCATTGAAGGAATATTTTTAGGAACACCAGCAGGCTTCTCAAGACACTTTTAAATGACTCCACTGTCTTACAACCAACCATTTACCCTGGCCAGCTGTTGCAGTACTGTAACCCCACCTGATCCCAATCCCCTGCTCAGGTCCAAATCCCTGAATGTCCAGTGCCTTGAGATGTCCTCCTGATGTGAAAAGCACTCTGCAAATCTAATAATTTGCTGCTGTTGTTGTTGTAGTAGTCCACCCAGAGTCCTAGCACAGCCACTTTGTTTTTACCCTGAGATGACAATTTTATTTTGAATTTTTTTACAGGGAACAGAATGACTTTGGGAAAATTGCAAATGTTACCCTATAGAGCTGGGGCAGTGGTTGCTTATTATCTAGGGGCAATTAGGCAGTAAACTGAATGCCACACTAAAATTAATAATAATCCTTGTGTTTGATATAGAGCCTGTTATGCCACAAAAATGACTCAAATTGTTTCACAGGATTTACTGTAACGTCTAGTGGTTTTGTATTTTGTAGGTGAATGTGGCAGCCATGTGATGCAGCCAGTACACATTAATGTTTCACAAATAGCCATCAAGGGAATGACCAACTTTATCTGGGGATTGTTGGCAAGGACACTGGAGAAACTCCCTTTTCTTTTTGAATAATATCACGGGATCTTTAATGTGCACCTGAACAGGCAGGCGGAATATCATTAACATTTCAACAAGGGTTTGGCATCTCTAATAATGCAGCATTCTTTCAGCACTCTCCCATCAACATCTTCACTCCTCTGAACTCCTCAACCTCCCTGGGCTCTCCCTCACACTCACCGAACTAGTGCACAATCAAGGCGTCCGGTTCGACTCCCAGCTGTCCTTCCTCCCCCACATCCGGTCCCTGACCAGGACGGTCTTCTTTCACCTCTGCCACATTGCCCACCTCCAACCGTGCCTTATCCCAAATGCAGCCGAAACCCTCATGCATGCGTTTGTCACCTCCTGCTTGGATTACTCAAATGCACTCCTCGCCGGTCTCCCCAGCTCTACTATTCAAAACATTCAGCTCATTCAGAACTCTGCCACTCGCATACTGACCCGGACCAAACTCCGTACCCACATCTCACAGTTCTGGCCAGGCTCCACTGGTTCCCCATCACTGAACGGATCGACTTCAAGCTCCTCACACTCATGTTTAAATCCCTTCACTCTCTGGCACCTCCCTACCTTTCCGACCTCCTCACTCACCAATCCACCACCCAGCGCTTCGACTCGACTTGCACCAGCCTCCTGCTTTTCCCTCGCACTCTACGCCCCACCATCGGAGGTCTCATTTTCAGCCATTACGCCTGAAGCTCTGAAACATTCCCCCTCAATCCCTCTGCCTTGCCCCACCTCTCCCCTTTTTCAAGTCCAGCCTGAAAACTTTCCTCTTCGACCGTGCTTACGACCACCTCCCCCCCAGCCCCCCACCCCAGTTTGGAGTCAGGCTCCGCCACTGTTACCCTGTGTGGAGGGCACTATATAAGTGCAAGTTGTTGGTGTTGTTGTATTCCTTTGAGTTCAGAGAGAGGAAAGTACAACCAACTAGGCATCCCATGTCCAATGTTGCTCTATGGGAGGATATGGGTTGTAACATATCCAATCTCCTATTTTGCAGTAATGGGGGAGTGGGTGATATACTCAATCCTTGGTCTCTAGGGATGCTATGCAACAACTATATACGCCCACATATATATATGGTCAATTCACTTTACAGTATATTCTGTGGAGCGCTTTGAGGCATCTATAAGACGTGAAAAGCACCATATCAAATGCAAGGATTATTATTCTTATTAACTATGTGGTATCCAACTATATCTATCTATCCATCTGTCCCGTCTTGATGTACAACAGAAATAAATGCAGGTCAAGCATATACATTATAATTAGTCACACACAGGCATACATAGCTATATGCATAGCTAAAAAATGTTTTGATAGTACTTATCTTTCTTCATCTCAGCAAAGTCTTTTCATGTTTTGGCAATGCAGATTTCTCATTAAATCAAGACCATGAATCAACGCCAGTGAGTCATTGTGTAACTACTCAGATTGGGTGTGGCTTTCCAGTACAATGTATATGCTTGGTCTGAGCCCAGGAGAAGTTTGGATCCTGTGACTAGCTCATGGTATTCCAGTCCAAAAAAACAATTTCCTGTCCCAGATCATTCCAATTGGCCTTGTGACAGAGTCAAACCTTGCTTCAGAATAAATGCCTCAGAAATGCAGACAAAGGGGTGGTTAGACATGTCCACTGTTATTTTGATGAATACATTCTGGTGACCCGGGAAGTCAGTCAGTCTTGGATAGAAGCAAAGGATTGTCTCCAAGACATTGCAGCTAGACAATCATCAGCATAACTATTTTAGCAATTCTAAATAATCTATAGGACATGAAATTGTTGACCAGGCACAATGAATGAATCAGTAGCTCATGTGGGAATGATAATTCATTTGGATGTGCTAATTTTACCTATCCCTTATTTGATTTTTATTTTACATATCATTTTAAAAAAGAATTCTTTGGTCAGCTGTGCGTTTGACCCATGTGGAAACCCATCACCATGTTTAAGATTATCCAAACCAAGTTGAGATTTCTATGCATCCTGCCTACACATGGCAATCCCAGAGATAGATTGTTGGAATGGAGTGCGCACTCTCTCCCTGGAGGGACTCATCCTTCTTACCTAATTCCAGAAGAGTATTAGGCGCAGGTTGTCAAGAGCCAAGGTTTGGGGATGCCAGAATATTGGGGTACTGCCGTCTAACCAGTCTAATCAGCTAAAACAGGAAAGCTTGTTAAAATAATTCTTAGCATTGTGGTCCAAAAACAAAGTTTACATACTGCATTTGTTGTGTTCATTTTTTGCTGTTGGCAACTTGCAGTTGGTGAATATAGATTGCGAATAGTCAGTCCCAAATCAGCTAAGCTCGGAAAAGGATGGCATACATTCGGGTGGCATAAATTCAAGTCAGAATGAATGCAATGAAATGGGTTTGCATTTCAGAATGTGTTAGTCTGGGTCAGTTGGTAGCACACTTGCTTCTGAGACAAAAGGTTCAAGCCCAATATCGGAACTTGGAACTGATACAATGCTGAACTGAATGTGTGTTGCATTGTTTGAAGTGTCATCCTATTGATGAAACATCAAACTAAGATCCCGTCTGTCTGTTCAGGTAGACGTTAAAGATCCCATGACAGTATTCAAAAAGAGAAGGGTGTTTCTCCCAGTGTCCTGGCTGATAATCCCCCAGATAAAATTGTCATTCACTTCATGGCTGTTTGTGGAACATTGCTGTGTGCAGATTGGCTGCCACATGATCCCAGAAAATATACTGCACTTTACAGTATATCCTGTGAATAACTTTAAGATGTCATCCTGACGTGCAAAGCA